ATCCGTCCTTAAACAAGTTGGGATAGGTCTATGTGCTATAAAATATGTTAATTTTTGCACAAAATATTTTTAGATTATGAAATTTCAGTCTGCTCAGTATTTTGAGCTGTTTTAGGACATCCTCTCACTTTAAAACGAAACCAGCTGCTGGGCACACCTCCTTCCCAACTCAACATTTACATTCCCACAGGAAATGGCTGCAAACAAATATGCAATTATACAATCATACATCATTGAAAAGCATTAGTAGAGCCTCCGGCATAACAAACAGGAATGGAGCAAGTGACACTTGTCTTTGCTGTTGTACACCGCATACAGCGGAATAACTAGCTGACCAAACATGCTGGATTTCTTCTTGGGATGCTGGGTGAAGGGTTAAACTCAGCTGGGGTTGCTAGGTAACAGTGTAGTGCCCTCTGAAAGTGACTTTACCATCAGGAGGTTTTTGAAACAGTTCATTCCAGATTTTTCCACATGCAAGTTAAAGTCGTTAAAGAAATGAGAGGTTAGATGAACGAAGCCTTTTCACTGGAAGGTTGACCTGCGATGTGACCTTCACTGACCTTGCCGCTCCACTTTGGCCTTTCCGATGGGAATCGTAAAGTCTTTGGACTGCGACTCGTCGGACATCTCGAAGGGAACGCCGTACAACAGCTCGTTCTCCAGGAACACGACTGCAGGCGAAGCAAACACGAGTTAAACATTTTTTCAGACCAGAGCAACGATCAGATCAATGAGAGCAGAGGATTAAATCTATCAGACCAGAACAACAGATCAGATCGATCAAAGCAATGGATCACATCAATCAGACCAGACGAGTCGATCTACGGAGTGGAGACCCCCCCTCTTGCCCTGCCCAGAGCCGCCCATACTGATCCTAACTCAACCTGGTCATGGTGGGTCGGCTTCAACCCACTGATCAGAACCCGGATCTACTGACCTGGAAGAAGATTTCTGGATTTTATTGTCTAAAAAGATTTCTGCTGGACTGGAGAACCTTACTGATACCATCATCATCTTCATCAACACTATCATCATCACCACTACCGTCTTGGCGGCGTCTCACCTGGGTTGTCGTCTCTGATGGCAGTCTTCAGGAGGCCTTTGGCGTCTTCGGCGCTCCAGGGACTGACGACCTTCAGGCCGGGGCAGTGGGCATACCTGCAGAGAGACATTCAGGTGAGATCAGCGCCCGACCCGACCGGATCCGACCTACAGAGCCCCCTTAGGCCCACCAGGCAGCGAAGCACTGCGAGTGCTGGGCGGCGACGCCGGCCGAGGCGCCGTTGGGCCCCCGGAAGACGATGGGCACCGGCTGCAGCCCGGCGGACATGTAGTAGGTCTTGGCGGCGGAGTTGATGACCTGGTCAATGGCTTGCATGGAGAAGTTAAAGGTCATAAACTCACAGATGGGCCTGAGGCCAGCCTAGAGGTGGAAAGCAGCCCGTCAGAACCATGTCAGAACCAACATGGCGGCAGCGGCCAGACTCACCATGGCGGCTCCGACAGCGATGCCAGCGAATCCCATCTGTGGCAGAGACACAGCATGAGCCGGTGGGCGGGGCTTACACTGAGCACGTTCAGTGAGCACTGATGACTCACCTCTGAGATCGGAGTGTCGATGATCCGCTTGTCGCCATATTTCTTCCACAGACCTCTGCTGACCTGCAGACAAACCAGAACCGCCTTACACACCCTGAGCCCAGAAATGGTTCTGATGAATTCACTGCAACTTCTGATGGATGATGGAGCAATAGATAAAAAAAACTAAATAAATTAAAAATATATCAATAAACTTCAGTAATAAACAGGAGATGCAAATTAAATTTAAAAATATATGAATACATTCCTGACAAATTAAGATAAAGAAAATGATGCAAAAATAAATTTAACAAGCTCAGAGTTGTGACCCGGCCTTACTATTCTGACCAGATGGGCTCTCACCTTGTAGGCGCCGTCGTACTGGGCCACTTCCTCTCCCAGCAGGAAGACGCGCTCGTCGCGCTCCAGCTCCTCGTCCATCGCCTGGTTGAGCGCATCACGGACCGTAACCTGCCAGGAGACCACAGCGTTCCCGACCAATCAGAGATCAGCTCTTTGCGTTTTGATCCTCTGCGGATCTTAATGAGGAGATATTCTCTGTAAAATGGACAGTTCTGCCAGCAGCAGGTCCTGCTCTGTCTGCTTAAAACAAGTTTGTAGAAGCAGCCAATCACAACCGAGCATCACATTAGTAATAATATTTAATAATGAAATAGTAAAATGAGCAGCATGGAGAGGCCATGACATTGAATCACAATAATATTGAGGCTGTAAATAAAGCAATCAGACATGTTGATGTTGTGTGAAATGTAATTTTATTTTCATTTGAATGACTCACTTTTCTTAATCCAGTCCAGACTCAATAATCAGTTTATTTCTGTCAACCAAATAATCAATGAAACATGAAAAACGTTACATACGTAATTTTAAATTTAGATATCAAAAATATCAACATAAAGATTAAATTGTGAAAATGGCAAATGTAGCATTTTATTATTGAGCTCGATTGATTGTCATCGGTTATCAATTTTAACAGAAAAAGGTAAATCATAATGAGAGTTTGTTAATAATTTGCCCCAAGCAACAATCACGCTTTAATGCTCACTGCTGCGTACAGGACTAAAAAAATTAATATTGAATGTTTCTGGATTTCAAACAAACTTACATAAATAATCCACAGTATACAGCAGTTATTTATTGTAAGCAAGGTGTTTTCCTTCATGGCAGCTTATTAAAACTGATTTATAAAGTGGGTTAAAGATTATTTAACTAATTATTTCTATTAATTTTACTTACATAAACTGTTTTCAGTGAAACATCTGTGAAAAATAAAACATTTAGTTTCCATATTTTCCGCAAACAGCTCCTGCATTTTTAAATAATTAATGTCAGAAGATGATTTACGAATTGTTTCTCACCCTCTGCTTCATGTTGCGATATTAATTTTATTGTTAAACTAATTTTGAACCGAGTCCGTCCGGTGCTAGCTGCTAACAGACTGACCTGAACAGCGGCCGGGGAGCTGCTGTGGATCCCCCGCCGAACCGCCACCAGCACGGCCCGCTGCGGGAAGACAGGAGCCGTTAGACACCCCAAAGGTCACCGGGAAACAGCTTCAACATCACTGAGAATCTCCCTACCTTTCCGGAGCGAAGAAAACACCTAAGGGACGCCGCCATCTTTGCCCTGTCCTCTGCCGTGAGACAAGGCGGGGTCTCCAATGAGGTCAGGAGACTTCAACCAATCAGAGCGCAAGACAACACTCCGTAAGGAATGTATAATGACACTTAGCCAATCACAGCTGCTCAGAGGTGTAGAGGCGGGAGAAAGCTCTAGAGTGGAAGAAGACCCAAGGACACCCAGCCTTTGTCATTATGTATAGAACACTGAAAGTGCCAAAATGTCAGAAGATACAGACAGGAAGTGGAAAACCATGTATGTCTGGACAAGTTTATTTAAATCCAACTCTGTTTGTAGAACAAATATGTACTATAATAGGAATAAAAATTACATAAAACCATTATTTATTCTTCCTGTTTGTCCATTTAGTTGTGTCCCCACCCACACATCTGGAATGCAAAAACATTAGTGACTGTGGTGTTTTCTTACAATGCTGTAGGTTGTTCTTAGCAGGCCCATCCTCAGCACTGAATATGAGCCACTGTAGGCCAAATGAAGCTTCTGCTAAAGGAAGGAAGCTTCAGTCCATTTTATCTGGAGCTCAAATCTAAACATGTCATGCATCCAAAACCTAAAATATATGGGTTAGGTGGTTAATGGAAAGCCAAAAGTGGCACATTTAAACATAAAATAAAACCAGTTATATATGTGAGCATTTTATCAAACCTGCAGATGTATGCATCAAATAAATATATCTAAAATAAATAAATGCAGAAATAATTCTGTTTAAAATATTTCAAATATTTTGCTTAGCTGTCTGGTATCACATTATGAATTCGTTAGGCTTAAATATGAAAAACACAAAATCAGTTTGAATTATTTCACAATTTAATAAACACAAAATAAAATAAAAAATTAATATTGATTTCCAAATTAAATTTTTGCATTAAGAATTTGACACCTTTAAAATATATAAAAAGTTTAAATTTCCAGTTTTCTTAAAATTATCAAATATAAAAACACCAATTAGAAGGAGACAGAAGGTATTGTAAAGAAATCTGTTTTTATTTAAGCATTTTAAATTCACCCCATCAAATGGTGCAATCAAATACAAGCATGTGCAATACACGACTCATTGTTTCCCTGAACCGTTTTTTAGGCTAGTTTTCATTCACATAAAGCAATTTTTAAAATGTATTTACTCAAAAAAAAGAGAAAAAAATCAACTGTAAATCCAGTAAACTTCTCATAGTATGTAGCTCAATGCTGCCTCTGTGAATAAAAAGTAATCTGGACCGAACCTCGAAAGTGCTGCACAGAGATCATTCTGAGATCATTTAAAGACGGTTCTGGACCAGCCCGGATTGCACTGATCCAAAATAAATCATTTAGGATTCTAGCAAGAACTTGGTTTGATTTCAAACAAAAAGCCTGTCTCCAACGTGGCCGTCGTCATCACCACAGGAGCTGAATATAAAGTCCTCTATGTACGAAACTGTCACATACAGTAAAAAAAAAAAACATTCAAGATCTCCATCGGCACGATGTAATCCATATGGCACAAAAAAATAAAACATTTGAACAAAACTGCATGAAAAACGACTTCTGGGCTCTGAAATTAACATTCAACAACTGTTGGACATAACGAACATCCTGTAAGGTTTCATCTATCCAACGTGCTGGACGTGACAGACGCAGCTGAGGGTTAACTACGCCTGACAGACGCAGCTGAGGATTAACTACGCCTGACAGACGCAGCTGAGGGTTAACTACGCCTGACAGACGCAGCTGAGGGTTAACTACGCCCGACAGACAGCTGAGGGTTAACTACCCGACAGACAGCTGAGGGTTAACTACGCCTGACAGACAAGGCTGAGGGTTAACTACGCCTGACAGACAAGGCTGAGGGTTAACTACGCCTGACAGACACGGCTGAGGGTTAACTACGCCTGACAGACGCGGCTGAGGGTTAACTACGCCTGACAGACGCGGCTGAGGGTTAACTACGCCTGACAGACGCAGCTGAGGGTTAACTACGCCTGACAGACACAGCTGAGGGTTAACTACGCCTGACAGACGCAGCTGAGGGTTAACTACGCCCGACAGACACAGCTGAGGGTTAACTTCAGAGCAGATCGGCTGTATGGAGGGAGAATGCTGTCTACTGTCGATTGTTTCCGTCGGTTTCGTCCAGCATCAGCTGGAAGACATCCATCTGTCTGAGTTTGGACATTCAACACATAAAATATTCACTTTATTTCTCCTCATGTCACAACTTCATTAATAAGTCAATACTCTAAGATTGGACCTTTTGTTGTAAATTATAGAAAAAGGGAGGAATTTACCCCTTTCGGATTTTCTTAATGTGCAAAAAAAAAAAAAAAAAAGGGAATAAAATTGATTTGAAATGAAGAATCAGCAGATTTCTGGACGTTTTTTTGATCGCTACTGGACTCTGGTTTGCTGAAAGAAAAGTCCCAACAACATCCAGACGTCTCGCTCTTTTAAAAACAAAAAAACGCCAGAGATCGACGGCTGCTGGAGATTGTGCAGTTCTGACCCGTTTCCTCGCAGCGACAGACTAAAACAGCTAAAAGGCAGCAGAAGCAGGACGAGATGTAGGGAACTTGGATTCTTTTTCTCTCCGATTGTTTTCACATCTCTGGGATGGAGCGAGCACAGTGCGGACGGCTGGTCGCCGCGGCAACGCTTCGGGTCAGAACCGCGGCGTGCTGCGGTCGGCGGTGTCGGCCTTCTTCAGCTTGCCTTTGCTGAAGGTCTGGATGGAGCTGAGCAGCGCGGCCCGACCCGGAGGAGGAGGAGGAGAGGAGGAAGAGCCGGGCGCTGTGGGTGGGGGCGGAGCCAGAGGAAGAGGAGGAGGAGGAGGAGGAGGAGTCGACCCTGGAGCGACAGAGAGGAAGGAGCGTTAGAGAGGAGCTGCTGCTGGTTTCACTGGGAGCTGCTGCTGGTTTCACTGGGAGCTGCAGTCACTAAGAGTCTGGTTCTGGATTCAGGCTGCAGATGGACCTTTAGAATCTGATGGGACTGGAAACATTTCTGACTTCAGCTCCTGATCTTCATTTTCTACAGATCTATCTGGTTCTTCTCTACGTTTCCCTTCTCATATTTTCTGCCGGGCCGTCATTATCCGGACCACCGTTTGGTACCAACATTTGGTGCCTTGGTACCAGTGCTTGGTGCCAAAGTTTGGGACAAACGTTTGGTGATTGGTACCAATGTTTAGAGTCAACAACTGGTTCCAGTATTTGACATCAACAATTGGTGCCTGAGTTCGGTACCAGCTTTTGGCACCCAGATTGTTCTGAGTGGTGTCCAGACAATTTAGCCTGGTAGTTAATGGAGTATTAATTAAAACAGCCACCAGTCACTTTATATCAGTGATGAATTCATTTAGGGCAGGAAGTAACTATAAATAAACTATAAAGTCTTCAGTCTGGTGTTTTGGTCTCAACTGGCTCTTTTTTCAAGGATAATTTTGTTAACAGAGTTTCCATAATTCATCTTATTTGTTGTTCCTTTTTTATTTAGGATATTTAAAACATCTTCCAGTTCCAGTGCTGAATGTTCACTAGAATTTAAAGTTTATTGATAATTGATAATGCGTCCTTGCATTATTATTACACCATTATCATCATAATGGTGAAAGCATTTCTCTTGATCATTCAAAGTGGAACTGAGGAAGTTTTCCAGGTGGATTTTTTTTCTGAAAGCGGCTCCCAGAGACAATCAGCAGAACTGAACTCCATCCACCCTCAGCGCACTGCAACATTTAAATCCAGATTTAAATGTTGCCTCAGCAGCGCAGACTGAACCACAGAGTCAGTTTTCATTCTGGACACTTTCAAGTTTTCTGAACCAGGAAGTTCGGACTACTCCTGAGGAGACGGACGGCAGGAGCGAACCGGGCTTTAGCTTTTAAGAGCCGCTGGTCTCGCTGTGAGTTTTAGTCGTTTTGCCTTCTCACAGCGGAGGAGAAGCCAGCGTCCGAACTCAAAAAAGCAAAACGTGAAGCTAAAAGCAGCGCAGCGGCAGAACATCCAGCAGGTTTGACATCTCTGTGAAGTTTTCTCTCCACCTTCCTCAAGTCTAACAAAATTGGTGTCAATCAGCTTGACTACAATTATGCTGCTTTTGCTTTGAAAGCCTAATTAATGAAAGCTTAAAGGTCAAAGGGTCAACTAGTCCCCTGGAATTACTCAAATGTGACAATATTGGTGTCAAATGTTTGCAAAAAAAATGTTTTCTGTGGAACTTTATTTGAAGGGGTGTGAAAAAAGCCAACATGAACACTCATAGCATAAAGAGGTTTTTATGAATGAGGTGACATTCGGTAAATAATGACACTTTTAATGCAAAGTCAACACTGCTAATTAGGGCTGATCGACCGATACTTTTATGTGAAGCCGATCTCGTCTTATCTATCTTTACGGCCCCCTTCTGCAGGTTCACTTTGAACTTTCAATAAACTTTTAAATACAAGTTGAAATGCAACTTTGCATTAAAATGTAATTATTTACATATTCACACTTTATGACAACAGTCAAATATTCATGACGACTCCTTCATGTTTGTGACTGTGGCACGTCAGTTTCTTGCACACCCCTTTCAAATAAAGTGTTACCAAATTTTCATTTGTGTTGCTATTGAAGGTATTAAAACAAGTTTCCAGAGGTCACCAGAGGTCAACCCCAGCTCAGATCTATTAATTAAACTAATTTGGTGTCGATCAACTCAGCTGTGATTGCGCAGCAAAAATGTTGTATTTTTATATTGATGACGACCTCTGGAAACTTTTATCTTTAATATAATAGCGGTAAAAACAAACAATTTAGTTGCATAAACGTTTGACAGCAATGCTATGATGTTTGAAGAAGGTGGGGGTTCCAACTTCAGCCAGCAGCTTGACGGGCGGCGCTTGGCCTGGAGAAACTCGTGCTCTGCTGGCTTTCCTGTTCATCCCTCAGAAAGCAGCAGAAACTTTCTCCAGGATGAATCGTCATTAAAAGGATGCCTCAACAAAAATAAACCAAGATGGGCGCAGCCAGGAACCTCAGAACATCTCCTGAAACACTGTTGAAAGAATGAAACTGAGTTTTTAGGTACAACTGACTGCAGGATGACTGTCGCTGCCTTTCCGAACGTTCAGACTCAAGCATCTCTCTAAAATCCTTTTTAACTTCTAGTTCACATAAAAATACTCTAATCATTAACTGTGGGCACCACTAACTCAGAACCCAGCAGCGCTAACCCCTAAAGTGCATAAACATTAGTCTGGCTAATGCGTTACAACACCATGGTATTTAGTGGAAGCTAATGCTAAAGCTCTAATGTCAATTCAAATTATATTTGCCCTTCAAAGACTGCAAGCCTCCTCAACAATTTGACATATTTATATCTTCTATACCACCTTTATATACTGTATTTATGTTTTTATCCTGTTCTCTACTGTCAATATTTATTTTGTTCCAGTGACATGAAGTTGTTGGGGAGGGAAAAAAAGACAATGTGAGAAGACGAAACAGAACTGCTGCATAAACGTCTTCAAAATAAGAGAGTGAATATAAATCACTGACTACTTGAAGAATCAACAATCCTTCAACACAGGTGTCAAATTTCATCCAGTTGAAAGTTTACAAAACAGCAGAGTAAATTAGCATTTTAAAGTTTAACTGGAAAAATTAATTTAAGGGAAGCTAACTGTACTAAACACCTTTAAGTTAGCTAAACACTGGATGAAAAATCAGTGTGATCACCACTGCTAATTATGTTTGTTTATTATTAAAGTTCTACTGAACTTTAAAATGCTGCCTAAATGATATCTTTGAGATAAAAATGTTTAAAATGCAAAAATCTGATTTGAACAGAACTTGTGTTTTCTGCCATGTCTGATGATAAAACAATATAAATGTTTCTGCTATTAAGGCTTAAAAACATCTTAAGGTCCAACTATGTTGAGGCTCTGCAGATCTGATTCACACAGTTGCTCAGTTTTATTCTCTCTGACAGTTTAAAGATGCAGAAAACTGCATCCAAAACATTAAAAAAAAACTTTAAAATAAATATTAGTTTTAGCACAAAAATAAAATGAGTGGATGCAAAATAATTCTGAGATAACAGAGCAAATAAACTGAAGTTGAATAGGTTTCCTAATGAGGAAGGTCTAAAAAAATTCCTCTGACTCCACACAGACAGCCATGCAGAGACGGATCACAATCTGCAACGGGAACAGGAGAAAGCAAGCTGGACGCCGTTGGAGATTGTGAGGTTTTTAAAAGCGTACGCCCTGATGGGAGCAATCGCTCGTGAATTGTTGTGTGTGCGCTGTTTGAGCCCAGTCATCATTTTCAGCTTCTGGCGCTAACAGATCAGATACTTGCTCTCAGATCAGGGCATACGACGGCTTTAAAAACCGACAGACGGCCATCATCAATAACATTCGGTTTATTTTACTTTACCCAAAGACACGGTCAGAACGGAGCATGCTCTATAGTGGAGGAGAGAGAGGGAAAAGATGGCCGTTATCGCGTCATCGGACCAATCAGCATCGAGGTTTAACCACCAGGAAGTGGAGGAAGGCCATGGTTCTTTCTAAGCAGCCAGAATTTCTAGAAACATCTTAGTTATTCTCTGGATCCAGCCGCTGGAAAAAAGTATTCACATCTTTGTCTTATCCCAATAAACAATAAATCAATTGATCACATGATAAGTTAAAATAAGTTCAATTTCCATTTGCTTGATTTACCATTTTTCTCTTTTTACCAAAAATTGGTTGACAAAAGTCTTCAATGTGGTGTTTTGGTGTCAACTAAGACTTTTTAAAGGACAATTTTGCTTACAGACACTTTATAATTCATTTTATTTGCTGTTTTGTTGATTTATTTTGGATATTTAAAATGTCTTCCAGTACCAGTTAAATATTCCTTAGAATTTAAAGTTTATAGATAAAAGAAAACGGTCCAGGTTTTACTCAGGGGAATCCAAGCCGTTACACTCCCTCGGTACTGAAGTATTTGGAAACTGTTGCTGGGTGTGAATACTTTTGCAGAACGCTAGATAAGTTCGGCTGCTTAGATAGAATGTTCATCTAATAAAACACACCAGAGGAGGACACCTGCCTGGAGACGCCTTGGTGGGACAGGAGACACACAGACAAATCCAGTTAGACTTCATAATCACACATGCAAGGTTTCAAATCCAAACACACGCATGTTGCAACTGATCTGAGCTGCAACACAGCCTCCATCAGCCGGGGGGCGCTACAGTCTGCCCAACCCTTAAAGAGACAGAGAGACAGGTGTACCTGTAGCAGGAGGAGGGGTGGGGGAAGAAGGACAGGTGGGAGGTGAACTGGCTCCTGAACCTGGAGGAGACAGAAAAACACACCTAAGATGGGAGAGGAGGGGTCATGACCTCTGGCCTCGAAGGGGGAGGCAGTTCCTCAGGATATAGACACATTTAATGTTACTGAAGTTTCAGTTATGGCACCAATTTAGCTCCATAGCTCAGGTGTTATGAAAGGGAAGAAGGAAGGGATAAAAAACAACTCAAGACCATTTTTTACTTGTTCGTCTGTGTTGGCTGCGCTGTGCACATTCCCGTTGTCGTAGCAACTGACTGACAACAGCTCCACTAGCGCACAGGATTAAAAAAAAAAACATTCAGTACAGTAAAATGTATGTTTTCAGGCTTGACGTTTATTTTGTGATCATTAATAAGGGATCGTCTGAACGTAGAAGTGGTTGGTGTGTGAGCTCCATTATTTTTTAACTGAACCAAAACACAGAATTCTGCAGAACATCTACAAAGCCAAGCTAGCATAACTGACCTCACTCTCGTTTTTGTTTTTTAATTAAAACTTTGCTGATCTTGTTATCTAGTGGTTGTAGTTTTGACAATTAGTAGCAAAACACTGCATCACTTTTTGTTCTTTTATATCAGGCGTTAATTTCAGATTTACCGTTTTGTGTTGACAGTTTGATAGCTAAAAATCTGCGACATCAAGTTGCAACTTGGTTGTAGTTATTCATTGCCTCACTCCTCCAACAGGGGGAGCTCATGTCTGAGTTGATTCGCCCTTTTTCATCTCTTCCTTTACAAAACAAACTATGCAGCTAAATTAGTGCCATAAAATTTATTTGGAAAATGTATATATTGGACCTGAAATAAAAGATGTCAAACTGAAAAATGAGTTTGACATCATAATATCAGATGTTATGATCAAAAAATCTTTTAATTTTACAGAAGCAAAAATATGTTAATGTTATGACAGATTATTAGGGACAGTCAGAAAGGTAGATTTTTTTTAAATTACAAGAATAAAGTCATAACATGAACCAAAACAAGATGTAAAATTATCAAAAGAAACCGCAAAATTACAAGAAAATTGGCGTTTAAATGGAAAAAAAAGCTTCAATAGCGTAATTAAGATCAGAGGAGCTCCGTTTATCTGGTTCTGTATCAGTTTATCTGGTTCTGTATCAGTTTATCTGGTTCTGTATCAGTTCATTTCAGAATCCTGCTGCTCATAATTATTTGATGCTGATGTGTTAAAAGACAAAAAGTAAAATTTCATAAGATGATTAACATTCCTCATTTTGACACCATGGTATGACTGATTTTTGTTGTTCTTATATACATTTTTTATTCTGGTAAGTATTTTTTGGCTGCTTCGTTTCAATAATGTTGAGGTAAAGGAAGCAGTGAGAGGTCGTGACCTACCAGAGTTGTTGTTGTTTCGGACAGAGACGTCTTCTTCGTTCTCACACGTCGACTGTCTGGATTTCTGCAGAGACAAAAACGGCTTCAGAAACGTTTCTGCTCCAAATGGTCAGATAAACTCTGAAACTGAGCAGCAGGCGCTTAGCAGTTGCTCCGTGTTTGACCTTTCTCGCCAGGATCTTCCTCCTCTTCTTCTCCTCTTCGGAGCCGTAGTGAGACTGAGCTCGGGTCAGCCGCCGGTGCTGATGCAGCTGCAGAAAGACAGAACCACTCAGTCAATCACTGAAGTTTATTTGTACAGCACATTTCAGCAACAAGGCAGTTCGAAGTGCTTTAAATAATAAAAAGCACTTACTCAGAGAAATAATTCAAAGTCAGCAATTGAAACATTACATTTTGTCATTTTTACACATCAGATTATTGATTAATGTTTCAGAAGCAACTCAACAGCTGGGTCTTTAGACTAGATTTAAAGGAACTCAGTGTTTCAGCTGTGTTGCAGTTTTCTGGAAGTTTGTTTCAGATTTGTGATGCATAGAAGCTGAATACTGCTTCTCCTCTTTTGTTTTGGTTCTGGGGATGCAGAGCAGAACCAGAACCTGAGGGAGTGAAAGGTTGATACAACAGCAGCAGTAGATTGTTAATGTATTGTGGTGCTAAAACGTTCAGTGATTTATAAACCACCAGCAGCATTTTGATGTCTATTCTCTGAGCTACAGGGAGCCAGTGGAGGGACTTTAGAACTGGGTGATGTTCTCCATCTTCCTGGTTTTGGTCAGAACGCCAGCAGCAGCGGGAGGATTGATTGTTTCGTAGGCAGACTTGTTGCAGTAATTGATGCAACTTAAGATAAAAGCATGGATGAGTTTCTCTCGGTCTTGTTGGGACATCAGTCCATTAATCATGGAAATGTTCTTCAGGTGACAGAAGGCCAACTTTGTAACTGTCTTTATGTGGTTCTGAAGGTTCAGACTCAAATTTTAGCCTGATCTTTAGTTTTCAGCTGTAATAACTGCAGCTGTGTGTTGACTCTAGATGGTTCCTCTTCAGATATTAACTTCAGTTTTGTTTCTGTAGTAACTCAGGTTATCCAGAAAACTGCTAACCACGTCTGCAAAGTGAAAACTGTGTGGCCACCAAACCCAGCAGAACTCACCATCCTCTGCTCTTCATGCAGCCGCTTCTCCAAACTCCCTTTTGCCGACTTCAGCGCCTCCTTCAAGCGGCTGGGAACCTGACGGAGAACAGTCGGTCAAGTTTCTGATCATTTCTCAAACTATGATGCTTTTAGCTCTCGTCCCATTCTCACCTTTATCTGTAGTTTTTCTGAGTGTTTGAGCTTGACATCACTGAAGAGCCTGAAAGATGCAAAACAAAAGTACATTTTGCTGCTGCTGCACAAATTGCATTTGTTAACCTAAAACATACAGAGAAGACCTGGTGGGCCTTCACAATCTCACTGCAGAGGTTGATTCTTAGACCTTTGCTGAGGTACAAAATGTTGATGGATAATATCGGCTTCATATTTCAGAATCAGCGGATCAAAGATCTCCTAAAATTAAGGAAATTGGTGCTGATGAATCGGTGCATTGATGATTCTGGGGTCTTTCCTCTCTACTGTGTCTTTAAAGGGGGAGGATATTTATGCAAACATTTGTTTTATGTTTAATATTTTTTGTTGCATTTTTGTTTGCTTGGAGTAACTACACTGTGTACTTTTCAGTGATGTTGCATTTGTTTTTCTCTTTCTGCAGGTGTGGAAGCAGACTTAAATTTTTTTCTTTCTTTGCATTAAACTTTTTCCAAAATGTAATAATTAAATAGTATTTAATTTCATAATATTTGATTATATATAATTTAACCTTTAACCTGCTGGTTAACTTTCTCCTGGGCTTCACCAAAGAGCACAGCGACGACTGGCTGAACTTTAACTAGGCCAACTGACCAGCCGACAGTTTCGTTTGATAATTTCCTGCAGTTAATCTCTATATTTTTGAGAGGCACCGTCATTTTTGTCCCTGCCTATTTCATTAGTTTATTTTTAAAAATATTGGTTGATTTTCTGTAATATTTTTATTTATTTTTTCTTCTGTTATTTCAGTGTCCATACTGTTTTGTTTTGGTCACTAACAGAAATTCGGTTCACATGTGTATCTCAGATTATTCAGTTCTGCAACGTCTGTTGTGTATTTGCTGATCACATACAAATTTATATTTAAATTAAAAATGCCAGATATTTGAGTTAATCCATTTTTATGTCTGTTTTAATTATCCTTTCTTTTATTTTTATTTGACAAGAATACTTTAAGTTTTAATTTTCTTCATTTTCCTTTAAGCCTGAAACACTGAGAATGAAAACAAATATTTCTTGTGCATCTGCAGCGGATCTGGACTCACGGAGTCTGGATGAGCGCCGGCACCGTCGGCATGCCGCTCTTGCAGGCGTCTGTGGACAGGATGGACTGCAGAACCGACACTGAACACAGACATGGAGTCAGACATGGTGCAGAGCCGATAGGATGTTTGATCCACATTAAAGTGGCGATACAGACCCACGGCGGCATGGGGGACGGACGGGAACTGGTCCACTGGGACGCTGTCCGGCGGCTGGCCGTACGTCATCTCGTATAGTAAATGCCCGAAGCAGAAAACGTCGATGCTTTCTGTAGTCTGAAGGTGGAAACAGAAGGTGGTTTTGTGATCTGATCACAGCTTCATGCTTCATAAATCTGCTGCTGTTTGTAGTTTTATTTTCACTTCCTGTAAATAGTCTGTGCTGAACGCAATACGATGGTGAGCAGCGCTGCGCCGCGCACTGACTAACTGCATCTTAACGCCATAAATAAACAGAATGTTTAACGGGAACAGAAGTGGCCCACGGACGGAGCCTTGAGGAACCCCACAGATGAGGATAAAGGTCATTCTCACGTACGTTGATCTTCCTCAGCTGCGTGAAGGCCGGCCTCAGGACAGAGGGAACTCCCAGCATGCCGTTCTCCACATCCACCAGCCGACACACGCCGTCGTCCACCAAGATGTTGGAGGCGTGCAGATGGCCGAAGAACAGGCCGCTGTCGTGGAGAAGCTTCAAGCTCTGAACACACAGAGACAGACAGCTGCAGCGGCGGGCCGCCGTTTCGGGTCGGTTGCATGCAGGTGTGGTGTTTACCTCCAGGATCTGACGGCCGAACAGCTGGATCTGCTCCAGCTCCAGGCCCTGGCTCTTCTTGGGGTTGCAGTACTTCTTCAGGTGACTCTCTCTGGGTTTCACCTGGACACATCCAGATAGAGGAAGACTTATTTCAGGTTCATATAGAAAGAAAACATCCGGACCACATCCATCTCAAACCCCTCAACTAGCCAGGCCCCTATTCTACTCTGGCAGTTTGTCCCGAAAGCCACAAAATTGCTCCACAGGAAGCGCTAAAAGTGGTTGCAGTAGTTCTGGAAATCTGCCATGTTTCATGCTGAGCAGCGGACAATGCGTTAAGTTTTACCAGAAAATAACAGGAGAGAAAAAGAGAAATCTCTAACTGCATTTTCGTCTTTTAACCTGTTCTTTATTTGGATTTAGCAGTTCGTTTTCATTAATATGGGGCCGGATATCATCTCTAAAGCAGGAAATGGACTACAGAGCAGGGAATTCTGGGTAAATGCAACCATAACAAACACGCTAGAGGGAGAAATGAGAAGTACAACTTGAACAGGTTCAGATTCACAGATTGAACTGGTTCACATTAAACTGGTTCAGATTGAACCGGTTCACATTAAACTGGTTCAGATTGAACAGGTTCAGATTGAACTGGTTCACATTAAACTGGTTCAGATTGAACAGGTTCAATGGGCAGTTTGGCCTCCAGAGTCCAGATCCGAACCCACAGAGTTCTGGTCTGGACCGCAGAGGTCCAACGTTCTGCACAGCAACCTGGAGAAAACATAAACCAACTCTGGGGGGAAATAAATCTTTCGAACTGATCCAACAGAAAATGTGTGTTTGACAAAGCAGCTAAAGTCGGTCCGGCCCAGTTGTCAGAGAGGTACCGGTTCTGTTGGAGAGGCGGCGCATGCAGCAGGAGGCCCGTTACCTTGCAGATCTGGTCCCTCAGGGAGCCTCTTTCACTGAAGGGCCGGATGAGCAGAGCTGAAGACTCGCTGGTGCTGGAGAACAGCAGCGGACTCAGATACGGCGTCTGGAAAAGAACCAACCGTGATTACCGGCCGGGCTGGTCAGAGTCACAGCCTTGCCCAGAACCCAAGGTTCTATCAGAGCAACCTGGGCTTCCAGAACTTCAGCAGAATTTTTGCTGAGTTGAATTTAGTTTTTGAGAAGGTGGAAGGTTGACCTTTCATGACCTCTGGAAACATTTACTAATACCTTTAAACTGACAAGAAACATTTTGCTGCACTAACACATGACACCAATTTTGTTAGATTTGAAGAACATGGGGGTTTAGTGCACTGCAAAGAGAAATCCCAGGATGAGTTCTGACCCGGTTCGCTGCTGTGCTTATTAGCAGGATTCTGATGACTCTGCAGTTTTTGTCCTTACAGACGCAGTAAGAAAAAAGCAAAAGCAGGGAATCACTTCTCACAGCGCTGCTGGTTTATCGGCTCATTGTGTCAGAGGAAACTGCAGAAACAGTCGCGACGCAGCAGTTTCCACCATTTTCACTTCAAATCCCGGATAACAGGAACTTGAGAACTGCAGAGCGAAAACAACTGAACGATATCAAACCAGATTCAGAGAGCAGAGAGCTTACAGAGGGGTTGGAAAGCAGCTTCAGGGCCGACTGCAGGTCTTTGTCTGAGAGGAACTTATCAGGACCCAGATCCACCTGCAGACACAAAAACAGGCGGTCAAACAGAAAACCGGCTGCTGTTTCTCTGTTCTTTGATTTAAAGGATTAACTTGGTACTTTGTCCGGTTTCAAACACAACAAAGATAAAGCTGAGCTGCGTTTGCAAGATTTAAATCAAGAATGGACAGAAACATCAGACCCAAGCAGTCAGGATCCATGAACGGAGGCGGTTCTGTCGGATTCACCCTGAACTAATCGGTACAGCGACTTTCAGCTGATTCAAAAAAGAGAGATTTTAAAGTTTCTCAGAAGGTTTTACAGCGTTTTCGCTCCGAGGGACAAATAAGAACGAGGATCAGCCCGATTGAATCCTGCTGCAATGCTCTACTGACCCACATGCTTCAGGAGTTCTCCTTTGTCGGAGGTCAGAGTTCAACAGGAACACCTGAAGAGTCGGTCGTGCTGCTTACCCAACTCAGCAGGAAGCGCTCTTTAGGCTGCTCCTTATTTTTGATCAGAAAATATTTCTTCCTTATTCTCCATCCTGAAAAATTACAAAACAGATTTTAAAATTTTACAGCATTAATTCTGTGTTTTTAGTTAATATACCACCAACATTTGACCAAAAAAAGCAGATATTTAATTTTAAAATGCACTTGCATCCAAGTAAGACTTTTCTAATAACTGCAAGGTATTTTTATGTTATTTTCATCTCCTTGCTGTACAGTACATGATAATCTGGTTATTTATACATTTTGTTTATTTAATACTTTTGAATTTTTGTGTGCAGCTGAATTTCCCCAGTGTGGGACAACAAAGGATATATTTCTATTCTCTAAGCAGTCAGTTTCTGAACTCTAATCGGAGAGCTTGTGTCTGCAGCGCCCGAATTCATCAATCAAAATAAGACACCATTTTTTCCAAACATGTTACAATTTCTCTGTGCTTTCTCTCATAAAAATGAGGTGATCATTTTAAATGCAGCTGAAAAACTTGTCATGATCTACGAGTTTAACATCAGTCAAATTCACATCAACTAAAGGAACTTTCTCTCTACAACAATTTGAAGGATCTGGATGTACATCAACTTTTGTTTTCACCTTTTTATACTATTCTAGGTTTTTATTTCTGTTTAGAAATGTTTCTGCTGTACAGGACAATATTCAGATAATAAGTTTTACTTGACGCAACAGATTCATAAAAAATATGAACCACTTTTAAACTATAAATTACATTTTAAAGGTTTGGTGTGTTTTTCTTAATAGCAGTAAAATAATTTCACTTTTAGTTGACATAAATCTCATGACACCAATGCACTTCCCGGCCTGAGAGGTCAGAGTGCAGCAGCAGTTGGCGCCATCAGAGCGATGCTTACCCATATCTTTGAGGGGCTCCTGTACCTCCCACTTTGGGTCTGACCTGAAGAACATGGAGACTTGCTGCAGAGCAATTTCTAAGAGACAGAAAGAGACAAACTGCATCATCTCAAGTCTATTTTCACTTCAGGATGGGATTACATGTCTGAGGAAATTCAGGAGCTCCTGAACCACAGAAATTAGCAAGCAGAAGTTCTTCACAGATAAAAACTGAGCACCAACCTGTGTAGTTGGCTGAGTAGTTGTTGGGGTCGAGGAACTTCTTGACAAACAGGGAAGTGCAGATCTGGGGATGCTGGGTAATGGAGTCCAGGTAGGCCTGCAGTCCCCTCTGCCTCTCTGCTATAAACTCTCTGTCCATGTTTCCGATCAGTTTCTTTGGAGGGAGCGGCAGACTGATTCCACACACCTGAAAGCAGGAAGTCATTCAGATCTGGTGCTAACTTAGCATAACCTGAGCTATTTAGCACAGTGACAGTTTCAACAAGTATGTAAAACAATATATATTTTATAAAAGTTGCATCCTGCAGCTTTAACAAACACAGATCCCAAGACAAGCCGGACTCGGTGCTGGATGAAGACACCAGTTCAAAGTTGCGCTGATAATCCAGAGCAGGAAAGGGGCAGAAACACTGCCAGCTTCCTGTGATTGTGACCAAAAAAACAGGCCAACGGGAGAGAAATGCTGCAGTTCTGGTCCAGTCCGAGTATCTGAACCCGGGGCCCGTTCATCCCCATGTCTCTGGGTGTCTAGTTTTCCTCCAACAAGTAAGGGTTAAAACAAATCAGATAACTTAGATTTTCAAGTCTGTAGATTCAAAATATTCCTTTAGTATAAAATAAGATGCCTGATGTAAGCAGACCAGGCCAGATACCAGGGTAAGACCCGGTTCTACTAAAGTTTGGCTGCAAAGCGCTACAATCGAACCTTTCCTGAATTTACAAGTCAGTAAGAAATATTTCCAGTTTCAAACAAGGACCACTTGTATACAAATAAATGATTAAAAAAACAGGTGATAGGGCTCAACAATATGGTTTAGCGGCTAAAGTCTTTCCTCTGCCTACATCTCCCAGAATGCTGTGCGATTCTGGATCAGAGTTCAGTGAATGGTCTTTATATTGAATATTCTATCAGATGTGTCACCTATTGATATTCCTCACACTCCATTGTAATATACATTATTGATTTATTGTTCAGCTCTACCAGATTAGATGCCAGCAATAATCTTATTTTAGCAGCCGCAGGACTGAATAGGGAGCAGATATAAGTTTAAACCTTTTTTTATCCTCCTTTTCATTCATAATTTCTTTTAGTTGTTATATGAGCTATTTATATTTATTTTGAAGTGAATTAATAAAAAAAATGACATGAATGCTTTTCTGGTTTAAATAAAAGCAGTTAGATAAGGTTAGTTTTATTTGTTTCCCTTACGTCACCAAAAAGGAAACAAAATAATGGGCTATTTTATAAACTAATAAATTCACCAAATAAAGCAATAAGCTAACACTTCCCTACTCTTTTCATAGACAGCAGTCTACACAAATGAAAGATATCTAAACACATTACATGTATGTCTTCAAATCAGCATGAGATTTTATAATTTTATATTTTAAGGCTCTAAAAAACCTCACTAAAAAGCACATAATCTGAGATTATTAAATGTATTCCATAGTTTCACACCAGTAAGTGAAGCATCTGGATTTTACATTTCCTTTTAGCACATTCTAACGTTCTGGTTCTGCACTCTGATTAAAAGCGTAATCTCAGAGTTAATATTTACCGGTCGGTGATTCTGCATATTTCTGAGCACAAATCAGTCAGCCTTAAAAAAATATGTCAAAGTTCAGATTTGGACAGATAAAAATAGCAGAACTCAGACTCTGTTTTGCAGGATCAAGCAGGGGGCCTGAGTGTCGCAATCCGTCTGCATCGCCGTCAATCAGCGCCGCAGATTAGCCAAGACGAAGCTGTGGGAAAACCCAGACCAACGGACCTGGAAAGTTGCAGCTCAGGTTACTGCACCGCTTTTCTTCTTCCTCCATGCGGCCATTTTACCACAGAACACTTCCTAGTGATTCATCAGGATTCGTTTTTATACTTCGAGTCTTTGCAAAACACACATTATGTTCAAAACTGGGTTATAATAGTTTTGGTTTATGATAAATTTGGGTTTGTTATTACAGTTTAGTTTCCCTAAACTAAACTAAACTAAACTATAATAACATGAATCAGACAAACAATTCAGTTAGTTTTAGTCAGATTTTAGAGTTCGTTTGCTAGTTTTTATTAGTTAAATATTGTTTAGTTTTAGTTTAGATTTCATTGGTTATAGTAGTAGTATTAGTTTATCATACTTTGGTTAAGTTTTAGGAGTAGATTTCAAAAAAGTATTATATTATGACGATGTCTACATTGTTTGGGTGATGAATACTCAACAAAAGAAACCATTTTGAAAAAACAATTATGAAACTATTGTTGAACAAAATGACTCTGGTGTTTTGCCACAAGTTTTGCTGGCGCCATTTTGGGGATTATCGCCAGGAGTAGAATGGAAAGCTAGCTTCAACTAGTTAGCATAGCCTGAACTAGCCTGGGTTCGTGAGCATAGCTGTCATGACATAATGATAGTCAAAATCTCTATATAAAAAATCTTTTTTGTTTTTATAAAAGATACATACAGCAGCTTTAACCCAACACATAGAATTAGGAACCCTTAACAGTTTATTAACGTTTCACCGCTAATGTATTGTTTGTTTCAGTTAACATGAAACTCACCATCAGGCTGCTGTTCAGGATGTCGAAGTCGCTGTAGCGGCGAATAACCTGCAAGAAACACATTCTGTCAGCTTCTTAATATCTATTGATCCATCATAACGTCAGAGAGTCAACCTGAATTTAAAGGCTGTACATAAATACAAGCTGTGAAACAAGATGGCTGCTCTGTCATCAGTTTAAAGCACAGTGATTGGAGAAAAATTTAGATTTTCCAAATCCATCCATCCCATCCATTTTCTAACATCCTTATCTCTAGTGGGGTCTGGAGATGCTGGTGCCTCTCCAGCTAACGTTCCAGGCGAGAGCCGGGGTCACCTGGACAGGTCACCAGTCGGTCGCAGGGCAACAAAGAGACAGACAGACAACCATGCACTCACACCTGGGGAGGATTTAGAGAGACCAATTAACCCAACGGTCATGTTTTTGGACTGTGGGAGGAAGCCGGAGAACCCGGAGAGAACCCACCATGCACAAGGAGAACATGCAAACTCCGTGCAGAAAGACCTCGGAGTCGGGAATCAAACCCAGGACCTTCTTGCTACAAGGCAACAGTGCTACCAACTGCGGCACTGTGAATATCTATTGACATAAAATATTCTCAGATATGTGAATTTAATGCTAGGATAGCGTCCTGTTAGATCAGTATTTCATCACCATTCATCTGCAGCTGAGAGGAATGGAGACACTTGTTGCTTAAAGCCATAGTACACACATATACACACACACGCGCATACGCACACACGGTTTGTACATACTTATTAAAACTGCCACCATGTTGTGACAGTTTGCTATGAGACAGATAAACTGTGATCTATCAGGGAGGAGATGGCTCTCCTCTACCTGCACCCTGAGCTAGTAAGAAATGTATCGCTCCTAATAAAAATCAACCAGAGTCAGGAGGAGGGTCTTAATGCTGTCAATCAATCTCACGTGCGTAACAATAAATGCGCTAACGGTGGAGAAACTTAGCGTAAGAGGGAAACCGTTTATCTACCATCATTGCTGGCTATACTAACTAGCTTTAGCATTTACAGCTGGATCCACAAACTGCAGTGTAGCAGACTGTTATTAACAGCGCTAAGACCCGCCTCCTGGCTCTGATTGGTTGTTTATGGTCCGCTATTGTCAGCACTGGGAGAAGACAGAGGAACTCAATTTGTTTCACAGATTATCTGTCTCAAAGCAAATTGTCACAAAATGGACATTTTCAACAAATATGTAAAAGAATATATTTTATATAAAAACTAAATACAGCAGCTTACAGTTATCAGGATGTTTAAAACCTTGCTGGAAATAAGAATGCATTGGTTTCTGGGCTCTCTGAATCAAAAGCATTAGGACATCAAGACTAATCATTCATTTATTTATAGTCACATTTCATGAGATCTTCCTAATACGAGTAAGCTGAGGCTGTGATTGGTGCGTTTACCTGCCAGCTGTTGTCTGAAGACACGCCCCTCTGGACTCTGATGATGTACTCCTGGGACACAAAGAAGACATCAGGATTTCCTTTATTCGGTATAATCCAATTCAACACATTAGTATATTCCAATAGTTTACAGTATTTATTATGAGCTGCTGTGATTGGTTGAACACAGACATTTAACCGTCATGACAAATAGAAAATGTTTGACATGTTTTATCATCCTTTATTATTTCAGAGGCAAAAAAAAACATTTCATAAAAAGATAATTAAATTAAAAAGTTTTCAGAGAAATCACACCTTCTAAAATAAAAACTATTTTGCTCTTTATAAAAGTTATAAGTATGTGTTTTTGGGAGGAAATAGAAAAAAAGGCAAAATAAATAAATGCATCAAAACCTAAATTAGGTTATAATTTTCAAACCTGAAAATCCAGTTTTTCTTCCACTCAACTTTCCATGATTATAAAATATCAAAATATTTCAATTTCCTGAGAAGCTGAATTTTTGTTTTCATTCTTTTTAAGCCAGAATCATCAAAATTACAAGAAATATTTCACTCTAGAGAATGAAAGTTTCACTTTCTAAAACTGAACAAATATTTAACCTTTTAGCTTGTGGACGCATCTAATCTCAAAATATTAGTCAAATCAAGAATATGGTTTCATTGATTTCGTTCATAATGAGATTATGCTTCCATTTTTCCATAATATTCAGATTTCCTGTTACTCTTCAAATTAAAAAGACTATTATGTAAATAATACATGGGGAACATAGCTGGAAGCCAGCTGCTCCGAGGCTCAACGGTTATGTTTCTGTCGTAATGTTCTGGTCATTAGAATTACAGTAAAAACGCTGACATCACTTCCTGTGAAGCTACAGATTTACTGGAACAGACAAGCAGAACTGCCTGAGGTCGCCGCTGATTGGAAACCAGTTTGATGTTGGTTTCTACTGCTGGTTGAAGGGGAATCTGTCCTGTCCACCAACCCAGCAGCTTTTACATTTTCAGGTTCATCAGTTAACTTTAACCAGGAAAAAGGTTCCGCATCAAGCCCAAATCCATCCCCAGAGTCAGAATCTGTCCCTGAACCTGCTGTCGTCCATCAGAGTCTCGGTAACAGCTTCATCCAGCCAACTTCATTTAAAAACACCTATTATCAAACCAGTACCAATTGGTTTGATAACCAGTTAGTGCTCTATGATGTAAAGCACTTTTAACTGTCTTATTGCTGAAATGTGCTGTAAAATTAAACTTGACTGATTGATTAAACATTGATTAGGAACAACAGAGAAATAATTCACCATTTAGCTCTGGTCCATTGTCCCACTTCCATATGGGAGACACAGTAAATGACACCTGACTGGATTTCCACTCCTTTTCTCTTCTAGATATGCTACTCCCTAAAGAGGGTGCTGTCCTGTAATGTCATTTCCTTTCCCTTATGTGTGTAAGTATGTGCGTGCATGTGCACGTGTGAGGAGGCAGCAGCGAAGAGAAATGGATCATTCCAAATAAAGCATGTGTTTTATTGTGTGTTGCTGAAGTAATCTGGTGTTTTACTGGATAAGTCTTTAATGCTGACAGCATCTGCAGAGAACCTGCAGAAACAGAGCCGGCCCAAGGCATATGAGCCCCCTAGAATGATGCTTTTTTTTAATTAACACCGAGAATACAAACCTAAAAGCTATTACACAAAGAAAAAATTATTTCTATACTTTTATATTTGGTGCACAAATGGGATACCGATTATAAACTCTTATTGCTGTTGGCTGATTTCTCTGTTGGAGAAATATAAGACATTAAACTTCTTAACTTGTTCACTGTAAATTCAGTGTTTTTCTATAATTGTTGCTTTCCAATAGTTAAAATAAACTGGCAAACTTAAATATCACCATGCATCTCAAAATCCAAATTATCATTATTATTTTTTTGTTTGTTTGTTACATGGGCCCTCAAATGAAAATATGCATTGGGCCCCAAAAAGGCTTTGGCCGGCTCTGGATGGAAACTAAAAGCAGGGATAATCTCTGCAGATTTCACTGGTGGAAAGGTCCAGTAACGATGATCATACCGGGCCGAGAGCAGAGGTTCTGATTCTGTTATGGAGGGCTGGCCTGACATCAGCATGCTGAGCCAACTCAGCTGATCCCCGCCAGACTGTCAACAACGAACAGCGCCTTAGGCCTATTATCGGACAGGGGGTCCCGTCCTGCTTCGTTCTCCAGAGCAAATCAGCAGGTAAGTATCTAGGAAGTTGCCCAGTCAGAGCGTCCGAAAATAGACTCCAAGAGTAAATCTGGTGGTTCTAATGAAGTTCTGACGACAGGAATTACGCGTTAAAGTCGTAAACTGGGTTTTTACAGCTACGTTTAATCTGAAGATCATCCGCGCAGTTACACACACACAGCGGAGTCCGATACTTGAACCAGCAACCACCCGTCTCTTGAGAAGTTCTTCAGACTTGGAGAAACACCGAAGCGGGGCCCCAGGGTTAGGGTCTCTGACCGACGCCAAACGCTGCTGGTGGGTCAGTCCAGGTAAGCACTCACCGTGTGGGACTGAAGGTTCTGACTGGCTTCGATCAACGCTGTCAGCGGCAACGTGTCGTCCAGCAACAGCCTGCCGGGGGTCGGGGACTTCTCCAGGAGAGACATCCCGGATGGATAGACAGTGGAACTGGGAACCAAAGCGTTTGTCTGTCGGTGACACCGAGACGGAACTCCGCTGAGCGCCCGAGGAGTTCGAACAGCCAGCTATCAGTTAGCCGAACTGCTAGCCAGCATAAGTCAATGCTGTGGCATAGCAACAGCGCCACCTGTTGGTCTGGAGTATAAATATCAACAACAGTTTTCTTTTTTTTTCTTCTTTTTCAGAAGAAACTTTTTAATTTGGCGGTTGGCAAAAAACGTTCAGTCAGCTTTACCGCCACCTACCGGTAAGGAGTGTGAACCACATGACGAGAAAAAATTATGTCCTATTATACAATTTGCACTGTTTAAAAAAAAATCAAATATATCCTGCTATCTTCTGCTTCCTGAATCTTTTGCAATAAATCGACTATGCCAAATTTCCTTCTCATAGTACTACAATTAATTTTGTTTTCTCTGAATTCTGAATTCAGTAATTCCTACAATGCTAAATAATATGTTCCATTGTCTCCAATTCCCCACAGTCACATTTCCCTGTCTGGTTTTTCCCTGTCAAAATTAATAAGCATAACATACTTTCACAACATAATGACAGTTTTAACTAATATATAAAAAATATTTATATAAAAGTGACTCCAGCTTTAATTTCACTTAGGAGAGGATGTGGGCTAGAGCTGCTGCTGACTCACTCATCTGTTGTCAAGTGGTAAAAGGTACAAGTTCAATATATGAATATGTTGGTAATTATTTTTCCTTAATTCATTAACTGTTAGTGAAATGGAGGCAAACACTAGTCTGCAGCTAAGCTAACCATGCTAAATGGTTGATGATCTCACACACCTCTCGGACAAAAACTGGGTTACAAAATGACACTCTTACCTTTTTCTCTCTATATATATTTTTTAAAACCTTACTTTATTATTTTTCCACAGTCGTTTTTGTCTTCGACTGATGGAGACAGTCTGAACAACTCCATAAACAATCTGATCAACTCCATAAACAAACTGATCAACTCCTTGCAAAGAGGTGTTGCTCTGAGAGACGCAGCTGGCAAACACACAAGACACTGAAAAATCTAATTCTTCAACCTGATCCCCATCATGTTCAAACGACTGTCAATCTGTTACAAATGTTTATACAAGGATGTTATCAATGCCAATATGAAGATCAGTTATTACTGAAAATATATTTTGAGTTTCTCTATATATTGTGTAACCCCAATGTTCATAAAACTCATCTATTTGACATGGGGCGTTTGTATTTTTGTTCAGTGTATTTATTATTATTTAGTCATAGGCTTCTTCAAATTCACTGGAACAGATCAGGAGATCCTTCCTGCCAGCAGCCATAACTCTCCAGAATAACTCTGAAGAAGTTTGAATTAATGAGATACACATTTAATTTACCATTGGGATGAAAAAGCATTTTTGAATTTGAACGTTGTTTATTTCAGCTACCAGGCAGAATGAAACAGAAAAGAAATATGTGGTCGAATGTGCAACTGTATGGTGTTGGACAAACTAAAGAATGTGGAGTGTGTTAAGGAGCTGTCCTCCTGTGTTTGGCCAGCGCAGGGCATTCTGGGTAACTGCAAACACACATCATGCTGGCGTCTAGAGGCAGCAGGAAAAATGACTCGTTAGCCAAAGAGTAAAGAGAAATCCCCCAACCCCTACAATCTGACACCACTTGATTTTCGTTTATGCTTTGTAAAGAAGAAAGTTGTGCTCTGTGTTTTCCAAAGAGGATTTTATGTTGTTTCCTTAAGTGGTTCTTGGTGCAGCGCCCCAACAGGTGAGGAGGGGAACAGGTTATCTGCCAAAGGGTTTGGTTAGTTTGAGCAGTGAGACAGAGAACCGCAGCAGCTGAAAATGTGGCAAATGTTGCAACTTTAGTCCCCAATCAAACTGAGTCTACCAGATTCAGGTGGAGAAACAAAATCTTCCATGCTACTGCATGTTCTCATGTTTTATTTAAGTAATCGGGCATGATTGTTGCACATGAAGACAATTTTCGTTATGCTCTATCTGAACTGAACTTGTGCTTTGAGCATCCTCTTCATAAAAATGCTTCACTACAAAAGAATATCTTCAGTCGAGGGTTTCTTCACAACCGTTGCAGCACAGACTGCTACAGGAGATTCTTCCTGCCCACAGAATATAAAATATAAAACAAATCTTTGAAGAAGCTTGGGTACGTTGAGTTTCAGCAACATTTAATTTCCCTTTGTGATCAATAACATATCTTTGAATTGATTTAAAATTCAGTCAGAAGATCTTCCAATGAGCCGCTTCATTTAATTTTCACTCTTCCTCTCCAGGTACTTCTGTGCCTCAGTGAATTAAGAGTGACAACTTGTTATCTATAAAATTGAAACACTTAAAAAATGTTAAAACCACAGTGAAAATATTGCAGGAGTGACACAAGTTACAAACACGTAAAAAAATACAACAAATTGCTTTTCACAAACTCAAGGACAAAAATAAAACTCTTCTATTTATATTATATCACATTATCAGGCCATAGAACCACTTTTTAACCAGATGTCCAACAAGTTGTTGCTGCAATGTTTAAACATAAATTACATTTCTGTGACAGGAAATTAGCTTAATAGAGTTTGTTGTTCAAAACGTCAAAAAGATTGACTAGAAACATTTACATATAAAGTAGCACTTCATTAAGACAAGTTTTAAACCAAGAATATTATGAGTTTAGCTGATTTCACTCAACAAAAACATTATACTTTTATAAACTGATGCATTAGTCCATTTAATCCTACAAAGTCCAGTTCGTTTGGGGATGCTAATCAAACTCTGAAAAAACAACCAACCTCAGGACTCAGTTGGGTTGAAGTGAACTCTGGTAAAGGTTTAAGCAAACCAGACTGCTGCAAAAGCAGGAATTGGACAACAGCGCAGAGCATCCTGGGTAAATGCAACCAAACAAAAATGCTGGAGATTAGAACTAGTGGGAAAATGACTTGAGGTCTTTCGCCAAAGACAAAAGAGAAATCCTCCAATCGTAAAATCTGAGAACTGCAGCAGCTGAAAATGTACCAAATGTTGGAACTTCGATCCTGTTGCATCAGACTGTCTCCACGTCTAAACGCTGCATGAACCAGCAGATCAAGTCTTTGGATGACAGCTTTGGTCTGCGGTTCAGAAATCCTCTAGTTTGATTCAATAAATCTTTCCTGAGGCGAGTGTTGGGGACGTGGTGGTTGTTGGTCTCACATAAACCTGGAATCAGCAGTGGCCATAATCAGTAGTTAGTGGTCTGACCACAAGTGCACTCCAGGCGCTACCACCAATACGTTCCCTTCGACTGCAGCTCCTCGACTCCTCAGCACCTTCAAGTCTTCTGGTTTTATCTCCAAATCGTGCCAGAGTTCCTTCCTGCCTGGCCGGCAGCCCGGGCTACAGGGATGCTGCATGAGCGTCGCTGCGCTCCAGCTGCTGCAGCTGAGGTTTGCAGGCCGCGCTGCAGCGAAGTGACGACACAGCAGGTGGCTCCTCGTCACCTGAAAGACAAGCAGAGCTGATAAATCCATGCAGAGACTGTAAAGTCAGCATTTTTTTTTTTTTTTTTAGCATTTAATTAGGTTTTATTTATTTGACAAATGTATTCAAGAGGGAATAAAAACTATTAGGGATGCAGAATAATTGGCATTGGTCTGATAAATAAACAACCTGTACCTATTTTTATCTGTTTCTGGCCATTTTCCCCCCAAAATTGTAAAATGATAGTAAAAAAAATATAAAATATCAGTTAATATCGGTAATCGGTCATAGCAGTGATATTAATATTGGATATTGATATTCATATCATCTCTAGTATTTATATCCTTAAATTTTTTGTCAATATGCTGTTACAACCTGTAACTGAAATCAATTATATTATTTTCACATTAAGCATCAACAATACAAAAACTGAAGACAAAGGAAAAAACCTCACATGAAAAACCAAATGCTCATGATTTTTGTTTTGCATATTTCATTATTCATACATTTTAAAAGTTAACATTTATATTCAGACTGTTTTATCAGCCCTATTGCAGCTAATTAATGCAGTTCAATCTGAGTATAAATGTTCAAGTCGTCGAAGGAGCTTACCATCTCTTATTTTGATGATTAATTAGTTGATTAATTGGACAAAGAATTAGCACATTCTGAAAATGTTTCATTTAATCCATTTTTATACAATATTATAAGTGCAATAAAATGCAAATAAACAGATATGTTTCTTCTTAAATAAGAAATTAAATATTGTATTGCCTAAAATGCATCATCAAACTATTCCTGGATGCATCTGAAGTTTAAAAAAATGTTTTTAACATCAGCACGTCTTAAAGATTCATTAGAATTGACAGTTTATTGAATTTTACGAAGCGTTTTTACATTGTTATCATGTCATTAGTACCACTATTCTATTTCTTTGAGCTCTTTAATTGTTTAATTGTGAACTAAATGAGGAATGAATCTAACTCTGCAGCGCTGCAGCTTTACCCAGGCCAGACGAAGACGATTCGCTGTCTGCCAAAGAGGAAGAGTCTGCCTGGTCATGTGACAGTCCCTCTATCAGGGGGATGGAGAGCTCCGACGACGGGACGGACGAGTCGTAGATTCCAGAATCCCGAGGAGGCGGGACGTCCGGGCCAGAGGAGCCGGGCTCCTCGGTGTGGGCCGGGGCCGGTCGCTCTTCATCCTGGAGGACACAGGGAGCTGAGGAAGAGGAGGAAGACTCTTCGGGTAAAACTCCAGATCTGCTGGTGGACAATCTGCAGAGAAAAAGCAAATGAGTTCATACCCACAGTAAAAATTTTAAACTTTTCCATCACCAGATAAAAACAAAACAAATGAACTAAAGAAGACAGTTTCAATTCACTATTATTATTTAATCACAGCAAAAACACAAAACCTTAAGTATTTTTAGTCTAGTTTCTAGTGCAAATATCTTAGCAAAGACAAGAATAATGTTCAAGTAACTTATCAGTAAGATATAGAAGCTTGTTTTAAGTAAACAACTCTTTAGTATCGATAAAAGAAAAGCTCTACTTTCATTGGCTGAAACATCTGTTAGGTACAAAGCTAATGTTAGCATGAGGGCTATCACCAGCATGTAGAGAGAATAGCATGTTGGCACTAGCAGAAGGATGTGGCTTATCAGC